GGGGCAGGGCCTGGCCTGGCGACACCCGCTGACACACTGACACACTGACTGGGACCCGGCCCGGGCCCCCGCGGGGACGGGATGGGCCAGGCTCAGGCTGGGCGCCCGGGACACCAGCCTCCTGAGGCTCCACAACTCAGGTTGACCCCCCGCCGGCCGGTGACACGGACACCCACACCGGTGGAAAGACCCATTCACAGTTCCCAGACAGCCCCAACAACTGCAAAGAGTGCCCCGTCCGGGAAGGACAACTTCCCCTGGGGCACGGCCGGACCCACTCCCCACGGGACACCTGTGACGGGGAGTGGGGGTGCGCGCGCAGCCCTCCCACGCGGCCCCTGCAGGGTCCACGCCAGACCCTCAGACATACAGATCCAGTCAGACACGCAGACACTGACCTCCCCCATCCACTCAACCCCCCCCCCCCACGGGGCAGCCCCAAAGTCACACCTGTCACGGGCTGCTGGCACCTTGGCGGGACCCACTCTCGAGCTGGCACACTCCGGCCACACTCACCACGAGTCTGACAGTGGACTGGTGCAGAAGAGAAAGCCCCTGGGCACCTGGCACAGACATGCCCGGGCAGACCCCACACCCTATTCCAGCGTGCGGCTGCTCTTCCTTCCCTTTCTCTCTGCAGTTTCTTTACTGTCACTTCCCCCCCCTCACCCCCCCACACAGGACCTTCCCTCCCCCTGCACTCTGCCTGGAGAACACTTGGTGTTCTCTTTGGTTTTCACCCAAAGTGACCCTACCTTCACCTCTGGGGGCCCAGCACATAACTCAGGGCCAGACACTCTTGATTGACTTGGCTTTTTGTTGTTGTTCTACCATTTAGACCAAAACTCCCCTTCCAGATTTTTAGTGGTTTATTGGAGATCAATCTCATGGACTTTCCTTCCAGGGCTGGCTTTGAACCCAGATCCTGAGATGTCAACATTCCAAGTAGCTAGGATAATGATGAGATGCTTAAGCCACAGGTGCCAGGGTAGTGTGTTTGTTTGTTTGTTTGTTTTTGAGGTCGTGGGGTTTGAACTCTGGGCCTGGGCGCTGTCCCTCAGCTCAAGGTGAGTGTTCTACCACTTGAGCCACAGTGCCACTTCCGGTTTTCTGGTGAAAGGTTCCTGCCCAGGCTGGCTTTGAACCCTGATCCTCAGATCTCAGCATCCTGAGTAGCTAGGATTACAGGTGTGAGCCACCAGCACCCAGCTGCATTTTCTTTTTCATGGTGGTGCTGGGGCTCAACCAAGGACCTATTTAAGCCCTCTACTGCTAAGCTACACCTCCAGGGCCTTATTACTACACTGTACTGAGATAAAGTTATGTAAAGTACTTTTAGCTGGGCACCAGGAGAGATCTGAGGATCGAAGTTCAAAGTCCATGCAACTTTTTTTTTTGGGGGGGGTCAGTCATAGGGCTTGAACTCAGGGCCTGGGCACTGTCCCTGAGCTCTTTTGCTCAAGGCTAGCACTCTAACACTTTGAGCCACCACTCCACTTCCAGTTTTCAGGTGGTTAATTGGAAATGAGAGTCTCATGGACTTTCCTGACTGGGTTGGCTTTGAACTGTGATTCTCAGATCTCAGCTTCCTTAGTAGCTAGGATTACAGGTGTGAGCCACCACTATCCAGCTAGCTCCTGAGACTCTTATCTCCAAGTATCTACCAAAATGCCAGGAGTAGACCTGTGGCTTGAATGGTAGAGTGCTACCTTTGAGCAAAAGAAAGTCGGGGATATCACCCAGGCTCTGTGAATTCAAGCCTCAGGACCAGCATACACACAAAAATAAAATACATTGTTTCTAGAAGGCACGTTTGACAAATTTTACAAAAGCAAGTGATCACAGAGGGTCTGGACCACACAAGCTCAAGGCTAGCTTGGCCTTTATAGCAAGATGCTTGACTATAAAAGCTAAAAACAGCCAGGTAGGGGCTGGGAAGGTGGCTCAGTGGTAGAGCGCTTGCCTTGCATGCTCGAGGCCCTGGGTTCGATTCCTCAGCACCACATAAGCAAAAACAAAAAAGCCGGAAGTGGTGCTGTGGCTCAAGTTGTAGAGCGCTAGCTTGAGCTGAAGAGCTGAGGGACAGCGCCCAAGCCCAGAGTTCAGGCCCCACGACCGGACCAAAAAAAAACAGCCAGGTACAGGTGGCTCATGCCTGTAATCCTAACTACTCAAGAGGCTGAGACCTGAGGATTGCGGTTCAAAGCCAGCCCAGGCAGGAAAGTCCAGGATATTCTTGTCTCCAATAAACCACTCAGAAAACTGGAAAGGTGCTGTGGCTCAAGTGGTAGAGCACTAGCCTTGAGCTGAAGGACAGAGCCCAACCCCATGACCGACAAAAAAAAAACAAAAAACTGAAACTGAACTGTCTGGAGGCATTGCTCAAGTGTAGCAAGTGTTCAGCTCTAAGTGTAAACTCAAGTGCTACCAGACAAACCAAACAAAAACTACAATATATCTGGGCACCAGTGGCTCACACTTGTAATTCTAGCCACTCAGGAGGCTGAGATCTAAGGATCACAGTTTGAAGTTAGCTTGGGGAAGGAAAGTCCATGAGACTCTTGTTTCCAATTAACCAGCAAAAGGTTGACTGCTAGTCAAGTGGTAAGAGTACATGCTTTGAATGAAAAAGCTAAAGATGAGCATCCAGACCCTGAGTTGTAAGGCTCAGTATGGGCACACACATACACATATAGAAGAAAAAAATACAGGAAAAAGTCACGCTGGAGGCATGGCTTAAGTGGTAGCAGTACCAAGAGCAAGAAAACTAAGAAAGCCCTGAGTTCAAGTCTCTAGTACTGGCAAAACTAACAGTAACAAATGAATAAATAAATCAGGAGGAAATCAAGAAAAAAATTATTATATATACTCAGTACATATAGTTTACAGAAGGTGTATTTCTGGCTATAGGTCATTTGGAGACATTTGGAAAGTGTGACTTACACTTATTATGTGAGATCAGTGTCTGACCAAAAGCCTAATAAATGTTTGCATAACTAATTGTGGTCACTGCTTGTTCTGAGACTGGTAGCAACTAAGGGGGGAGGGGCAGCTATTCTCCTCTGCTAGCTCAGGGGCTAGCCTGTACCTCCCTCTTGTGGGAGTCACTACCAGGCCAGACATGCTGGAATGTTTTAGGTGTTTTCTTTTTCTTTGTTGTGGGGCTTGCACTTTGGGTCTGAGCACTGTCCCTCAGCTCTTCAGCTCAAGGCAAGTGCTCTATTACTTGAGCCACAGTGCCACTTCCGGTTTTCTGGTGGTTCATTGGAGATGAGAGGCTCACGGACTTTTCTGCCTGGGCTGGCTTTGAACCAAGACCCTCAAATCTCAGCCTCCTGAGTAGCTAGGATTACAGGTGTGAGCCATTGGCTCAGTTCCTTGCTCTGAATGTGAATTCTGTTCCAATAGACTAAGGACAGTGTTTTCAGATTCTGGAGCTAGGGCTGGGAATGTGGCTTAGCAGTAGAGTCCTTGCCTAGTATGCATGAAGCCCTGGGTTTCATTCCTTAGAATGAAAAAGCTCCAAGTGGTGCTGTGGCTTAAGTGGTAGAGCGCTAGCCTTGAGCAAAAGCAGCTCAAGGACAGTGCCCAGGGGCTGGGAAGGTGGCTCAGTGGTAGAGTGCTTGCCTTGCATACATGAGGCCCTGAGTTTGATTCCTTAGCTCCACATAAGGAGAAAAATCCGGAAGTGGTGCTGTGGCTCAAGTGGTAGAGCAGTAGCCTTGAGCTGAAGAGCTGAGGGACAGCACC